AATTTTATTGATAGTTGCTTATTAAAAATTTTTAGTTTTTAAAAAAATTATCACCGCCATTACTTTCGCCGGAGACTATATATCCTTCAAAATAGTGAAAATAAAAAATCCGACTGTAAGAATTATTTCTTGACTTCTAAACAGCGCATAACAACAATGAAATTCAGTGTGCGGAACGTGCGGCGCTAACTAGTGTTGGTTTCCAAACTAAAGAGTTTCACAACTATGCAAAAGTCAAAAAGTTTTCGCCATAAGTCGAAACTAGTTTGACTTTTGACCTTTGACATATAACTTTTAATTTTAGTTGACTCTTACCTCTTCAAAATAGTTTGGGGACCAACTAATAGCGGTTACCATCTTTACACAGCACATCCCGCGCACTGATATATGTTTTCTCTACCCTCCATATGTTCTTATTCCCTTTCAATACGGAACAAAAAAAAATAATATTACCTCTTTTATTTTTTCTTCCTCTTTTTTTCCATTTCCAATTTTTATTGCAGTGGCGTTTGCTTTTATGGCATCTTTCGCAAGGGGTTTTTTCGCTGCACTTTTTTTTCGCTTGATTACATTCCTTGCAACTGTTTTTTAAATAGGATCTTTTCATCACCGACAAAAAAATAAATTTAACAATGGTTAAATGTTGTTTTATTTAACCCAAGTCAATTGATGTTTTTACTTGTGTTTGTAAAGTAGACTATATATATTTTCAAATGTAGTGTACGCAAAAACTCTGATTTCTCTTTTTTTTTTATAAATTAATCGGAATTTTTTCAATTGGACGGTAATTTGTATTTGATAATATAACGTCCACTCACCGTTCACTAAGAGAAACTATTGTCGGTAAATAATTCTATTAATAGCATTAGATTATGCTTTCTTCACAATTGATATATAAAAGGTATTTTCCTAATTGCTCCATAGCGGTATTTTTTTCGATTGGTAACAAAATTGTCTTATCGTGTGTCTTTCGTGTAATAAATAATATTTTCTTTGTGATCAAATTTAGTAGTTTGTTCGATTTTTTGAATTAAAAATTAGCCAACTATACTTTTTCATTGAATTCACACCCAAGGCACCTCACCATCCAATTGATTAATGAATATTGTTGTTAGAATCTCATCGTGTGTCTTCGCGTAATAGATAATATTTTCTTAACGGTCAAAATTTTTAATTTGTTCATTTGTATAATAATTTAAAAATAGCCATTAACTTGAATTCATCCTTGTAATACATGAACAAATAATTTTCTCAATTTAATAATTTTAATTAATGATGATCTATTTAATAAATTCGTACGTCTAAATAAAATATAAACCATAAAAGTATTAGAAAAACACCTATAGGCTTTACCATTTAATAATAATTAATAAATAAATTATCAAACAAACCAAAACTCACCAAACATATTAACCCAATTGATTAATATATATTTTTGTTAGAATCAATAGGCTTATAAACATAATAACATAATAAAGTAATCTCTAAAATTATCAAAAAATTATGTATTTACAGTTCACTCTCTATAACAGCCTGGTTTAGCTTTTGCGTATAGAGAGAGAAGTGTATTTATCGAATTTTGTAAATTTTTATTAGAGAATAATAAATTTTTGTAAGGATAATTTTTATCGAGAATAATTTTTTATTAGAGAAAAAAAATTTGTGGCAATAAAAATTAGAGAAAAAAAATTTGTTGTGGCAATAAAAATTAGAGAAAAAAAATTTGTGGCTATAAAAATCGTGTGCTATTTAAATACTTTTGAAATTCGATGTTCTTTCCATTTATATTGATATACATTTCCATAATATTACTATTCTATGTACGTAAATAGAAATACCTATATATTAATAAAATTAGCCAATCTCCAGTGTATATTAATATATAAAATTCAACGCCCGCAATGCCTGGGTGTAACGTCATACATTAGTAATTTCCTGCAGATAGTTTCTAAATTTGTAAAATAGCTTCTAAATGTGTACTAGTTACGCCGAAATTTATACACTTCCTATCTCCCCCACAGATT